ACAATATCCTTAAACATTCACTCCCTCTCCCACCAATGTTCATTAGCAGCAGTGTGTACCATTGACAAGACGCACTGCAGAAATTCACCTTCCAAACTTTGAGCCACTTCCATCTAGAAGGACGAGGGTAGCAGATACATGAGAACACCACCACATCCAAGTTTTCTTTCAAGGCACTCTCTATCTTGACTTGGAAATATTTCACTGTTCCTTAAAGAATCCCTGGATCAAAATCCTGGAACTTCCTCCCTTGTGGTCTATTTTCAGTAAATTGTCTGCAGCAGTTCAAGACAACAGCTCACCACCATCTCCACAAGGATAATGGGCAATCAATGCTGGCTCAGACAATGATGCCCACATCCCATGAATGAACAAATGAATTAAAGAAATTCTGGTGTTTTCCAGAACAGAAGATGATATTTGCAATTCTGTTTCAAAGAAACTGTCTAGACAAGGGCACTGTCTGGACATAGGGGTGGGGAGAGTTATACTTTATATTTCATCGGGGTATCTGAAAATGGACAATGTCAATTCAGCAATTAAACTACCTTGTAAAAGGAAGATTCTGCTTCAAACTGCTGACACACCATCAGCCTGCCCCCATTACCCCTTAAAATTCTATGCCCTACACTTATACATACCCCACCATATCTGTTTCATTGGGGGAAGGAACTAAATTCTACTCTGAGTACAGAATTTACCTTTAAACGTCCATGTCAGTGCTACATCGATCAGAACAATGCAATGGCCTCATGTCACTTAGGTACAGAATGTGCTGTGCAACTCTCTTTGCATGTCAACAACTATATCCTGGTTCTCCACAATGAAAGCAGCCAGGGCATAACCTTGTTAGTTTGTCTCCTATGCCATTACTACTAAAAGTTGGGTGTTCATTGGCCTGATTTTCTCAAATGTCCTTTCCCAGAGATCTACTTTGATCTTTTCTATCTCTCCCTTGAATGATACAAATTACCTGACACAGGTTTGCTGTTATTCAGAGGTTTGTAGTCAGCTATAACTGCTATTGAACTGACGTTGGTCATTCTTTGTTAGTGTATTTTTAGGGATGCTGCAAGTGAAGTCTTAACAATATGAATTGCCTGATCCCTTTGCAGGTACACTCTATTATCATGTGTGGACACACTAGTCAAAAGCAACTTGTTTTAATCATTCAAATTCCAAATAAGTCTATATGGATTTTCTTTTAAAATAGGAATTTGGGAATTGTTGCAAACCCTTCTGGGACTCTGCAATTGTGTTTATGACAGCTTTAGTCTGTTTGTTCTTGACCATCAACTTCAAGGTACACTTTAAAATAGAGTCCTTGGACCTTCCTGGTCAATTGACTTTGTATCATGAGCATCCGCAATTCTGAAGCTAATGTAATGATTTTCTACCTTCTCGAAAGAGATAAAGACAGACTCCATATCTTCCTCTTCAAACTGGGCAACAAATTGATCATTTCAAGAGCTTCAAACCCCACTGCTGTATTTCCACTAGGCAAAGTAATGTTTATGGCTAAAACTGCAACGGCAACTTCTATAGCTGCATTAGACATTCTTTTACATCCTTTTGGGCTTTTCTCTTTTTCCTGAAACAATAGCTCTGTTAGCTTTTTAAGCTCTATTTTGGCTTAGGGAACCTGGTGTAGTTTCAGTTCAGCTTTTTGACCTGTTCCAAATTAGGATCATTTCAAGCCCTCAACCAGCATTTTGAGAAACCCTTATCTCTTTACCTTACTATGTATTTTAAGTGACAACTTTTAAAATTATTTTATGATTAAGGATGCTACTTTTTGCCAAGCTCTCCAGTTCAATATAAAATTCTGTGCATCAAAATACAGCCATGTTAACTTCTATTCTTGGTACTTACAAAAGATTGCCGCTGAAGCATTTCCTTTGGTTTCAACAGTTTTGGTTCAATGTTATTTTTTTTCACACTTTCAATTTATTTAAAAATTAGACCTGGCATGGACTTAATGCCAGATGTAGCCTGCAATTGTTTGGCTTGAACAATTTTAAGCTGTTTCCTCAACATCAGGTCATGATCAATGTATTTGTATGCAGATTTGTGTATTTTGTATTCTTGGAATAAATGAGACAATAGAGTCATAGAGTCATACAGCATTGAAACAGACCCTTCAGTCCAACTCGTCTGTGCCGACTAGGCATCCCAATCTGACCTAGTCCCATTTGCAAGCATTTGGCCCATATCCCTGTAAACCCTTCCTAAACATATACCCATCCAAATGCCTTTTAAATATTGCACCCGCCTCCATCACTTCCTCTGGCAATTCATTTCAGACATGCACCACCCTCTGCATGAAGAAGCTACTCCTCAGGTTCTTTTTAAATTTTTCCCCTCTTAATGTGAAATAAGCCAGCAGCAAAGCTTTTTGTATTGCAAAAGATAGATTTACTTTTTTCTTCTTTCTCTTGCCTTGGAGGTTACTAAAGAAACTAGACCACTCACACACTACAGAAGATGATAAAAACAATACTTAGGATTAAAATTAAGTTCAGCCTCTTGTTATGTGAATACCTAGTATTAAAAATTCACACGGTTATCTGAAGTGAAATTTTGGAACTGGATGGTTTGCTTCAAACAGCTGAGATAATTTCAGTTGAATTTCCAGAGACTTATTTCACACAAACTTTACAGGTGGAACAGGATAAGGGAAAGAGAGGACTGTTGGTTCTCTGGCTCACGGCAAGGCACTTCCAGCTGTCCAAGTCATTGTAGCAGGCAATGAGTTTTTCCTGGATGCCTGTGGGTCTATCTCTCAGCTTGTTCCTTTCCCTGAAGATTTCTCACTCGATGTCCCTGCTTTTTTGTAGCTTTACCTGTCATTTCTACATTCTTGACAGGCAGGGAAAAAAAAGGCCACTGTTATGACCTGGACTAATTCCTAAAGCATGTTCATACCCAACAGACACCCCCCAGGATGCATTAAACACGACTGGATTTTTCCATCAATTATATTCAGTTTCAGGTTTTCAGGTAACTCAAATTAAATTGGTTCCTTCCAATGAAAAGTTTTACTTTAAAAAAAGCCTTGAATTAAATTTGCTTTAATTTCTAATATATCCCAAGATTACTATAAATTGTTCTACATGTTTTTTTTAAAGAAATTTGATTTGGAAGCTAGAGAAGACATTGCTGGGCCCCTTGCTGAGATATTTGTATCATCAATAGCCACGAGTGAGGTGCCAGAAGACTCGAGGTTGGCTAATGTGGTGCCACTATTTAAGAAATGTTGTTAAGGCAAAGCCAGGGAACTATAGACCAAAGATAGTAGGAACTGCAGATGCCGGAGAATCCGAGACAACAAGGTGCAGAGCTGGATGAACACAGCAGGCCAAGCAGCATCAGAGGAGCAGAAAGGCTGACGTTTCGGGCCTAGACCCTTCATCAGAAAAAAAAAAGGCCAAGCAGCAGGTTGCTTTTCAGACAGGAGGCCTGTAACCAGTGGTGTGCCACAAGGATCGGTGCTGGGTCCACTGCTTTTTATCATTTATATAAATAATTTGGATGTGCACGTAGAAAGTATAGTTAATAAGTTTGAGGATGACACTAAAATTGGAGGCGTGGTGAACTGCGAAGAAGGTTACCCCAGAGTACAACGGGATCTTGATCAGATGAGTCAATAGGCCAGGGAGTGGCAAATGGCATTTAATTTAGGTAAACCTGAGGCACTGCATTTTGGAAAGGCAAATCAGAGCAAAACTTGTACACTTAATGGTAAGGTCCTGTGTAGTTTTGCTGAACAAAGAGACCTTGGTGTGCAAGTTCATAGTTCCTTGAAAGTGGAGTCTCAGGTAGATAGGATATTGAAGAAGGCGTTTGGTATGCTTCCCTTTATTGGTCAGTGAATTGAGTATTGGAGTTAGGAGGTCATGTTGTGACTGTACAGGACATTGGTTAGGCCACTTTTGGAATATTGTGTGCAGTTCTGGTAAACCTTCTATGGGAAGGTGTTGTGAAACTTGAAAGTGTTCAGAAAAGATTGACAAGGATGTTGCCAGGGTTGAAAGGTTTGATTGAAAGGGAGAGGCTGAATAGATTGGAGACATTTTCCCTGGAGCGTTGAAGGCTGAGGGGTGACCTTATGGAGGTTTATAAAATCATGAGGAGCATGGATAGGGTAAATAGACAAGGTATTTCCCTAGGGTAGGGCAGTCAAAAACTACAGGGCATAGGTTTAAGGTGAGAGGGGAAAGATTTAAAAGGGAACTAAGGAGCAACTTTTTCACACAGAGGGTGGTGCATGTATGGACCCATGATAGCCCTGCTGGAGAATGGATTTGTGTAGGTTTTGGATGAAAGCAAGACCAGAATTAGTTGTGCAACCTCTTCTGCTTACATCCAATGGCAGGCTGGCACAAGTGGCTGAATTTTACATGAAGAAATGGACCCCATCAATGGAACCACAGCAGCATCTCCTGAGTTAAGCTAGTTAAAGAAAAAATGATGTGGAGGTGCCAGTGTTGCACTGGGGTGAACAAGGTCAGAAGTCACCCAACACCAGGTTTATTTGAAATCACAAGCTTTCACCTGACGAAGGAGCAGGGCTCCAAAAGCTTGTGATTTCAAATGAACCTGTTGGACTATAACCTAGTGTTGGGTGACTTCTGACTTAAAGAAATTTTGAGAGAGCAATTGGAAATAGAAGTGTTCTCACAAATGAATGTAGAGTTGAACTAAATTGCAAACTCCTGTAAAACAACAACTGGAATGGATACTCAGCCATTTCATTGAATGTAACTGCCAGTTCACTTTTCTTTCGCACTAACAGAATGAAAGTATCCCAATAGGTCAAGAAAGGACTTTGGGGTAAGGAGTATGTTTTAACTGAAGTGTATTAATCCGTGCGTTTGCAGGCATTTATAGCCAAACTATAACACTGAGTTACTCTTCAAATTCTTAAATAAATGAATTGTTCCTGAAGGAAATGACGTGAGGTGTGTGTCTATGTGGGAGCAGTGGGGGACAGGCTGAGATTATTAGATATTCAGAGCACGTTGCTGCTGGATGTTAGGCGACTGAAATTTTACACAGACAGAGAGGGTCAGTGCGGTGCTGACACCATGGCAGAAACTTCAGAAAAAGTGCCCATAGCTCTGGCAGGGCCGGCTGACCTGGAGCAATGCCTCCCGCCTGTAAGTCCTTAAATCTCAATTTACTGGCTCTGTTGGAATAGTATTTTTAACTAACCTCTATGCACACTTTGTCCAAACTTTCTGAATACCGTTTAGAAGTGTGTAAACCACCTCACGAGAAAACCGATTAGCAGTTGTAAAGCATTAGTTTTGGTCGTATTTTAATATTACAGGAAGAAAAGTGTTCATTTTCAAAAGACCAGGGATTTTAAAGTTGGATGGCCGAGCAGAAACTCTGGCATCAGTACAAGTGGCAATCAAATAATCACCAGCTTAATAGTGTTTTTTTTAAATTAAAAAAACGATTTTCTAGTCAATCTCTGGAACAAGTGGGACTTAAACCCGGGTCTCCCGGCTGAGAAGCGTTTTATCCGGCAGATTTTATTCAGTTGCACGGGGTTGGGTCCAATAAAACTGTCTGGGGAAACTTTTTTTTAAAAAAAAAAGAAAATGAACTTTTTGTTTCTGAATGATCAGTTATATAATGCAGTCTGCTTTCCAGAGTTCATGGTCTCAGAAAGGGGCTGCGGCGTTTCTTTCCAGTTATGTTTGTATATGTAATTGTATGGAGGTGCCCGCTTTTGTAAAGTGTTGCTGTGTGTGTGTTTTGAAGGCGTACGCGGTGGCTGTGAACTCTCCCGGGAGCAGCGGGAGCGGGCGCCTGCTGAAGATCGGCGCCGTGGTCCTCATCACCGGAGCTGCTTTGCTCGTCCTTGGAGCGCTTGGAGCTTTCTACTTCTGGAAGGTCAACGACAAAAACGTAAGCAACTCATCCCTCGAATGAATTAACAAATTGTCCATTCAAATGGAAGACGTGAAGCGGTCAGAGTCTCTTGCTTTGGTTTGGAGGCAGCAACCTCCCTATCTCGAAGAACGTGTGGTCTCTTGGCTGTATGGGACCGGCTGGTGTGCGTCACCTTGTTTATTGCCATTCCCAGAATCGCCTGCCAACATACCCTCTCTTGCTCCAGTTAACTGTGCAGTGTCCTGCCCAAGTCTCTACGACCAGCTGTTTCATTGATTTTTACAAGTTAAAAATTTTTGGGTGGATCAAAGTTGCTGCAATAACCTGAGATGTGGTCCTTCCTTTTTGATTTTTATTGTAGTCACGCGCGCCTAAGTACAATGAAAAGTTTTTTGTTTTGCAGCAGTACAGGCAGATCATAGCAAACAAGGGCATACAGATCATAGCGAGATATACACGGTTGCAGCTGCTCGGGAGATGCACAAAGCAAGATCAACATTATTTGAAGTTATTAGAAGTCCATTAGACAGTTTATAACAGCAGGGAAGAAGCTGTTCTTGAACCTCTGTGTGTGTGTGTGTCTGTATGTATGCATGCATGTATGTATTATAAATATATGTAAGAATGACAGTCCAGGTTTTGTTCAGAGCCTTGGGGTTAGAAGAGAGAAGAAGGCGAGAGGTTTTAGAAAATGCTGGTGACAAAGGCGTTCAGGATTTCAGGAAAGTATCCACTGCTACTTGTCCTGTAACATTTTGTAGCATTTCCCACCTCCAAAACACAGCCATATATGATGGTAATTTTTGTGATTAAAGTAATACTAGGCTAGGAAGACTCTTGATGTTTATACTTGCTTATTCAAGGTAAATGTGGATTTGCAGGAACTAGTAAAATAAACTGTTTTGAGCCAAGGCTCCTGTAGAAGAATTTAGGAATCCAGGCTAGGACAAGGCTGTCTTTTATAGTGTGACATTCCATCGATATAAGAGTTTGCTCTGTTGGCCCTCCATGCAGAATGTGAATGCTCAAGATTTTCCACTGGGCCAGAAATGAATACTCCTATTTTCTTGAGGACAGACACTTTCTGCTCTTGACAAAGGCATATTAATCAAGGAAGCTACCAGCCTCCGGCAATGTCATTAGCAATTCAAAACCCCAAGTTAATTGACCTAATGTCAATTGTAATTTCAAATAAATCTTGTTCACTGTTGTTCTTTAGCTAGGGAAACCTGCCAGCCTTACCTCCTCTGATTCCTGGGGTTGGCAGGACTGGCATGTGAAGGGGGTCAGGGATTATATTCACTGCAGTTTAGAGCAAAAAAAAAATGAGAGAGGTTCCTAGAAACCTGCAAAATTCTAACAGGGCTAGACAGGGTAAATGCTGAAAGGTATTCCCAGTGACCAGGGAGGCCAGAACCAGGGATCACAGTCTGAGGATAAGGGATAAGCCATTTCAGATTTGAGATACGGAAAACTTTCTTATTCCGAAACTGGTGAACCTGTCAAATTCTCCACCAGAGAAAGCAGTTGAAGCCAAAGCATTCAATGTTTTCAAGAAACTGTGTTGGATCATGATCGTATTGAATGGTGGAGCAGGCTCGAGGGCTGAATGGTCTACTCATACTCCAATTGTCTAAGTTTCTATGGTCTAGCTTAGTTGAGTGATGGTTGACACCAATTCAGCAATGTGGTTGACTCTTCACTGTCGTCTGGGCAGTAAACGCTAACCACAATCTCATCCTGTGTGTGAATTTTTTATCAAATGAACTGGTTTATGGATAGCACTGTCTGAAACCACAAGGAAATGGACATGGAGGGTTACTGGTTCTTGTCCCAAGCAGGAGGATGATTTTCAGCTGTTGCCTAGGAGGCAATGTCATCAGTGGCAGTAAATCTAAACACTCATCCATTTTTTTTTGTCCACGCAAAGCTCATGCACCCACCAAAAATAGGTAACAACCTTTATAGCATGGTTAAATCAGGGTCCTATCCACAGCAATAGAATCAATAAGGCAATTGGATGGGCTTGAGGGAAATAAGTGTACAGGGTTTCAGGATAGAGCAGGGGAGTGGCTCTGGTTTGGTTGATCCACAGAAAACTGGAATTGATACAAAGGCCAAGTTTGTGTTTTGTTCCTTAACTGTGAGAATGTGTGTCTTCAGTGGCATTGATGGACAGTCCCATCAATGAGTGAGCTCACCAAATCGAGTTCCAATCAGCTTAAAAGCTAACTGCTGAGCTTCTCAGTGTATTGCAGAGCCTTGATGCTGAAGTCCTGCCTCCCCAGAAGCTTCTGGCCAGTTAGCAGCCAATGGCTTCCTGGTGACGGAAATTGTCACTGAAGGCCTGGTCTGCAGGAAATCCAGCAGCAAGAAGCTAAGTCACTTTCTTGTCTTTCTTTCTTCTTTCACGTCCTGCAGGGTGAGAGTTGTGAGGAGGAGATGGTTCAGCTGTAAGGGCTGACAGGTATGATTCTTGGTCATCACCTCCCATCCCCGCCAGCCAACCGTCTAACTGATTAGCCAAAAAAGCAGGCAGGTTGCCTGGTATTCGAGTTGGTATACCAACCACTTGACTCCTTTCCTAGTAAGGTAGATAGTTAGGCCAGTGAGGTGAGACACTTAAGTAGCCCTCAACTAATCCCCTAAAGGGTATTAATAGTTAGAGATTTAAGAAAATTACCCATGGTTCTTCTTGCCTAGCACCTTATTGCTGAGGTGGCAAGAGGAGGATGACTCACTCTCCAGGATCGACTCACCCAATTGTTTCAAAACCAAAAGAACTGCGGGATACTGTAAATCAGAAACAAAAACAGAAATTGCTGGAAAAGCATCTGTGGAGATAAATATTTTGGGTTGGAGATCCTTCCTCTTCCCCCACCACCCCCTCCGCCCCCCACCAACCTATGTTCTGCATGAAAACTGACATTTTCCTCGCTACCATCCATTCTGAGGAAGGGTCACCGGACCCAAAACGTCAACTGATTTCCTTTCACAGATGCTGCCAGACCTGCTGAGCTTTTTCCAGCAATTTCTGTTCTTGTTTGCTCATCTCACCGACTTCCTCATTTCCAGGAAGGAGAAAAAGTACGCTGAGTTAATAGCTCTAAAATTCTGACATTGTCATGAGTATTATGTGAGCTGAAGTCAATGGTTCTCTACTAGTTTGTACCAAGGGTTGAGTAGCCTATCTATTGGTACTTTGATGGGAGCTTTAGGGACCAAGATACAGCCTATCACTGAAAGCCATCAGACCGTGAGAGGTAGGAGGCAGACATAGTGTATGTCTCATCCGCTGCCCACTTGGTGTGCCTCCAAATTAAAAACCATCCTCAGACCTTTATCCTTGCTATTGTTTTAGCTTGCTTTTACTTCTGGATTGATTGAATTAATAATTATTTATTCTAATTCTCTCCTCTCTAACCTCAACAAGCATAATGATGCAATACTTGTGAAAGGATTTCACCCTCATACAAGGCTAGGAATGCCAAGAAATCTAATGGGCAGGATGGGGCAGGGCTGTAAAATTAAGCACCCTGAAATGGCACTCCTCCTATTGTTTAACTTTCTCTCCCATCCTCATTGCAATTTTATCAGCAGTGTGGCAGGGGTTCTGCGTTCAAATCTCACCAGCCCTGGAGGGACTGTATAATGAAAAATAATTCTAACTCACAATGGGAAGAGCAATCAGTTTTATGACTCACCTCAATCTCCTATTGACCCTGGCCTTGGTAATTCAAGCTTCCAATCGTGACACATACCAACTTAAACTTTTAAAGATTTAGCTGCAGCTGTCCCCATATCTGGGTGGGTCTGCTGGAACCAGAGAATTGTCCATTTTGTGAATAGCTTAGAGCTCATAGAGGTAGATTCATCTTCCAACCCCCTCGCCAGAAGGGAGCAGAAATCCCACTTGTGAAATCAACTGGCCAGCAGTTGTTAAATGGCAGTGGGGCAAAGCAGCCAAGCTTGCTCTCAACATACATGAGTCAATCATTTGGCATCTAGAACCTGTTGCACCATTGAATAAGAGCACAGCTGAACTGATTGTAATGTCAACTCCAGTACTCCACCCACTCCCAACACAACTCCCTGGTTAGTTAAGAATCTAACTGTACATACGTTAAAAATATAATTCAGTGACCATGTCACCACCTCTCCTTGGTTTATCAGTTCCAAACCTTTTTGAGTGATTTCTTCACATCCCTGTCACAAAATGAAGATCCTATTTAATGTCTTTCACTAATCATCTAAGAATTTCACATTTTTTAATTAGATTTTTTTTTCAATTTTCTAAGCAGCATTGGGTACAGGCACAGCTTGTCCAACCCGTTCTTGCAAGGTGATCCCATCATTCCAGCAAAGGGTCTAGTGAATTTTCTCTATACTGCCTAAATGCAATTATATCCTTCCTTTAAACAAGGAGACTAAAACTGTACACAATACTTTACAGAGACAACAAGGTGCAGGGCTGGATGAACACAGCAGGTCAAGCAGCATCATAGGAGCAGAGAGGCTGACGTTTCGGGCCTAGACCCTTCATCAGAAAAGGGGGAGGGGAAGGGGGTTTTGAAATAAATAGGGAGAGAGTGGGAGGCG